TCTCGCTGTGTCTCTCTCTGTCAAATAAGTAAATAAAATCTTTTAAAAAAATTTAAAAAAACAAAAGGACAATCCAATTTCTTAAATGGGCAAAAGATCTGAGTAGACATTTCTCCAAAGAGAATATATAAATGGCCAGTAAGCACATGAAAAGATGTTCAACATTATTAGTCATTAAAGGAAAAACAACATAACCACAATGAGATACCGCTTCACACCCCCTAGGATCCTGTAGTCAAAAAGATGGACAAATAACAAGTGTTGATGAGAATGTGGAGAAATTGGGACTCTCATATATGCTGGTGAGAATGTAAAAATGGTGTGTCCACTTTGGAAAATAGTTCGGCAGTTTCTCAAAAAGTTAAACATAGTTATATGATTCAGCAGTTCTCCTAGCTATATACCCAAAACACGCAAACAGTTCCACAAAACGTCCTGCCCAGATGTTCATAGCAGCATTATTTATTATAGCCCCCAAATAGAAATAACTTAAGCTGTTGAATGGATAAACAAAAGGTGATCTATCTGCATAAAGTAATATTATTAGGCCATTAAAAGGAATGAAAGTCTATAATATGAATAACCTTGAAAACGTAGTGCTAAATGAAAGAAGTCAGATGCAAAAGGCAACATATTGTATGACTCCATTTATTTATTTATTTATTTGACAGAGACATAGCAAGAGAGGGAACACAAACGGGGAGTGGGAGAGGGAGAAGCAGGTTTCCCGCCGAGCAGGGAACCCGATGTGGGGCTCAATCCCAGGACCCTGGGACCATGACCTGAGCCGAAGGCAGACGCTTAACGACTGAGCCACCCAGGCGCCCCGTGTATGACTCCCATTTATATGAAATGTCCAAAATAGGCAATTCTCTAGTGACAGAAAATAGATTTGTGGTTACCAGGGCTGGGGGAGAAAAGAACAGGGAATAACTGCTAATGGGTGTAAGATTTCTTCTTGGGATGATGAACATGTTCTGGAATTAAATAGAAGTGATAGTTGCACAAACCTTGTGAATATACTAAAAAGCTCTGAATTGTATACTTTATATGAGTAATGTCTATGGTATGTGGATGATATCTCAGTAAAGCTCTCCCCCCCCTTTTTTTTTTTTTTAAGATTTTATTTATTTGGCAGGGAGAGAGAGAGAGAGAGAACAAGCAGGGAGAGTGGCCAGCAGAGGGAGAGGAAGAAGCAGTCTTCTGCCGAGCAGGGAGCCTGATTTGGGGCTCGATCCCAGGACCCT